CTAATAGCCACTGATGGACCTCTGCTCCATATGCTTATCTAATTCCCTTTTGAAGCCATCCATGCTTGTAGCCACTACCACTTCATGTGGCAGTGAATTCCAAGTGTTAATCACTCTTTGGGTGAAGAAGTACTTTCTTTTATCCGTTCTAACCCAACTCCTCAGCAATTTCATGGAATGCCCACAAGTTCTTGTATTGTGAGAAAGGGAGAAAAGTACCTCTTTCTCTACCTGCTCTTTCCCATGCATAATCTTATAAACCTCAATCATGTCACCCCTCAGTCGTCGTTTCTCCAAGCTAAAGAGCCCTAAGCGCTTTAGCCTTTCTTCATAGGGAAAGTGTTCCAACACTTTTATCATTCTAGTTGCCCTTTTCTGTACTTTTCCCAAAGCTATAATATCCTTTTTAAGGTGTGGTGACCAGAACAGCACACAGTATTCCAAATGAGGTCGCACCATTGATTTATATAGGGGCATTATGATATTGGCTGATCTCTTTTCAATACCCTTCCTAATAACCCCCAGCATAGCATGGGACTTTTTATTGCAGTCACACACTGTTTCGACATTTTCAGTGAGTATCAATGTGTATTTATAGTTAAGATTTTTGGCTCCAATGTGCATCACCTTGCACTTGGCCACATTGAACCCCATTTGCCATGTTGATGCCCACTCGCCCATCCTCGACAGATCCCTTTGGAGTGCCTCACAATCCTCCCTGGTTCTCACCACCCTGAACAACTTCGTATCATCCGCAAATTTAGCCACTTTACTTACTGCTTACTCCCAACTCCAAATCATTAATGAACAAGTTAAAAAGCATTGGACCAAGTACTGATCCCTCTGGTACCCCACTGCTTACCACCCTCCACTGAGAAAATTGCCCATTTATACTCACTCTCTGTTTCCTATTAATTTGCCAGTTTCTGATCCACGAAAGACCTTGTCCTTTTATCCCATGATTTTTGAGCTTACTTAGGAGCCTTTGATGAGGAATTTTATCAAAACTTTTATGGATGTCAAGGTAAACAACATCTACTGGGTCCCCATTGTCCGCATGTTTGTTCACCCCCTCTTGGACCATATCCTTAAGTTCACAGAAAAAAATGTTCGTTCTCCAACACAATGTTCCAACGCAGCTCAGAAAGACCTGTTTCCACATTCTGGAGATGTCATTTGGTGATGTGTTTTCTGTTATTCATCATTCCCTTTCTCCTTCCTCCTCAGACTCAGGATGCCAACCGGATGGGGAACGGCACCGAGGCCCAGCGGAACTCCAGGATGGCGCGGTCCTTAGCCCACGCGGCACTCATTATGGGAATTGTGTCAGCTATTGCGTACACTGTTTTGATTGTGCTCCTCTGAGTCTTAGTAGCTCTGAGGACACACATAAAATTATTTGTCCACTTTATTACCTCCCTCTTTGTCTTCTATTTGATTCAAAATGTGTTTGTTTTTTAAAAATGTGAAAATTTAAAAAGAAATCTTACTGCAGTCCTGAGCCGACACTGATGCTAAATGACAAGGTTGCAGGCAGTTAAGAAGGCGTCAGGAATGAAGCAAGCCTCAGTAGACAATTTATTGGCCATGTAAAATGTAGGATTCTTATGGGCCCGGGCTAGCCCACTCTCCTCAGATCTCAGCTGCGAACCAGGGTCAGCCTTGGCTAGCATTTGGATGGGAGACCCCCCCCCCCCAAGGCATAGGGTTCCCAGCCTCCAGGTGGGTATGGAAAAAATATATGACACTGTGTATGATAGATGTATGTTTAAGGTAGATCTATTTTGTGTTTTTAATTTTTTACTTTTTAAATTTTTTCTATACTATTATATAAATATTGGTGTCAAGTATTACCAAATATAGGTTCACCAAAACCATACATCAAAGTGCAGGTTTGCACTATGTTCAAACATTCATACAGCACCTCGTCAGTTTCACAATCACTAGTCCCAGGGGACTCTAGTAATTTACCCGTATCAAATTCGATGACTTTGATATACATACAAGGCACAATACATTCTTTTCGTCGGGGCTTTTTTTTGTAGAAAAGGCCCAGCAGGAACTCATTAGCATAATAGGCCACATCCAACAGCAGATACTCATCAGCACATTAGGCTACACCCCTGACAGTGCAATTCATTAGCATATTAGGCCACACCCCATGCCTTCCCTTGGCTATGGGGAGCCCAGGCAAGCTGGCTCTTGGACAGGCCGGAGAAGGCACGGGGAGGCATTTAAATGCCTCCCCAATCCTTCCAGGCCCTCCCCCTGGCCCGCCCACCTCAGAGTTGCTGGGGAGGGGTTGCTCTCCAGGCCTTCCCTCTGTAGCCAGGCACGCAGAGGCTTTGGCTGTAGTGGGCGTGGCCAACTCTGAAGCCAGCCGGAACTCCGTTCCAGTGCGTTCCTGCCCCAAAATAGCCACAGAGTGCAACGTACATGATAACCCATCCAGGGCGCCATCAAGACATTGGCAGCTTGCTGACAGCCTCATAACCAGGAGCAGCTGTGTGAAAAACACCTTTCCTTAAAGTGCCCATATGTTTTTATCATCCTTGTTCCAATATAAAATTCTTGGAATAAACAATCTCTTGGGGCTCCATCAGCATTAGAATCCTGCAGTTTAGAGCAGTCACAACCCTTCTGAAAATGTTTTAAAGTGTCTATGCTTATTTCTCAACAATGCAGACAGTCGTAGTACCAGTATAGTTTAACCAATAAAACATTCCCTTGAGGCTTCATCCTCATTAAAATCCTGCTGTTTAGAAAAACCATGACACTTCTAACAAAGTTTTAAAGTGTCCATGCTTATTTCACAACAATGTCCCAATACAGACTGCCATAGCACCACTATGGTTAAACCAATAGAACTTTCCCTAAGGGCTTTATCCTCATTAAGATCCTATAGTTTAGAGCAGTGATGACACTTCCAACAATGTTTTAAAGTCTCTATTCTTATTCCGCAACAATGTCCTAATGCAGATGGTCATAGCACTGGTATGGTTGAACCAACAGAACATGAGAGGTCCATTTCTTGATTCAGCCCATTTGGGACCATTGTGTCCAATCTATGTATCCAATAGCATTCTTTCTTTGTCGATAGTCTATTAATGTCCACACGTTGGTATTTAACAGCTTGATATTCATAAATAACAAAAAGCGTAAGTTATCCAGAGAATGCTGTTTCTGTACCAAGTGTTCCACAAGTGGGGCTTCCCTAATTTGGTTCTTAATTCTGGAATGGTGTTCCATTCCAGACGAGGCGGCGCGGCGGAACATCGAGAGCGATCCCTGGTGGCCTGTAGAGTTCCAGCAGAAAGCGGCCGGCGCGAGCAGCAGGAGGCGTGGATGACGTCATCTCCCGGTGCGGCGGAGCCTATCGGACAGAGCCAAGGCTGGGAGGGACGAACTCACGCGCCGAGACAGCTGCCTCGCTGAAAGAACTGCGATGGAGAGAGGAGCGTCCTGCCGACCAAAGGACCCGAGGAAGCCGGAAGCCGGAGATCAGAAGAAAGAGCCGCCACCACCGGAGTGCTAGGTAGGCTGACCCAACCCCTGAGAATGTGCCCATAGTTAGGGAACCACAACAGTGATTAGCACTACAAGTTGTAAACCGCCCAGAGACCCCCATTGGGGGGGTTAGGGCGGTATATAAATCGAAGGTTAAATAAAAAATAAATAAATGATTCTAATTTTGATTGGTCAGCTGGGTTTGCCCACATAGAAAAATTTACATGCACATGCTAGGACATAAATATAGTTCTTACTATTACAATTGGAGGTATGTCTCAGTTGGTATGGTGATTTCAATAATGGGTGGGCAAACTCCCGAAGTTCTAAGCTTAGATGGCAAATGAAGCAGTTATTACATTTAAAATGACTCCTAGTTGAATGTAAATCCCATTGGTGTCTATCAATATCTGCTCTAATAATGCAGTCACATATACTCAATCCCCTTTAAAATCCTATAAAAGGATTTTCTCCACAACCCGCAATATGCTGGACTATTGGCCAATGCTTATTAATTATGGATGTAATACGATGGGATAAGTGAATAAATTGCATAGTGCATGTTATACATTTGCTATCTGTTTGTACCCATTTCTCAAACAGTGTCTCCCTTTGGATATGATCGAGTCTTTCCGTTGCTTTTTTCATGATGTCAAAAGAATAACCCCTGTTCCTTAGTTGGCTGCTTAGGGTTCGGCATTCAGATACACAGTCCTGAGAAGCACTACAGTTGTGTTTCGTTCTTATAAACTGCCCATAGGGCAAATTGTTTTTCAGATGTGGTGGATGATATGAGCCAAAGCCTGCGATCAGACGTGCCATTTGGTGCAGAGGGAAAGCGAGCCTATTTCCCCCAGTGGAAATTGAGACGGTGTTACACGAGCACACATCCTTTGTAGCTGCACGCTCAGCCCATCACTGCCCGATCAGACAGCACGTTGGGGCGAGTGGGGTTTCTTTGCCTTTTGTTTCCCATGCGCATAGATGAGGAATCACACCTCCACACTGACAGTTCCCCATAGAGTATGCAGTTATGCTCATAATGCTAAGCAAGGGGGGGGGGAATGGCACCGAGTGGGGATGGAATGGGCAGACCATCCCGATGGCTTGAGTGCACGCTTGAGCGATCAGACGGGAAAGTCCGTCCGTGGCCCATCGGCAAGCATTAGGAATTGTCAGGTTCCACAGCAAGTAACTCTTCACACACGTTTCTCCTGAAGCGTTATGTTTATTAAGGCACAAGACTGGTACCCTGTCCACAGGATTATTGTTAGGAATGACTAGAAGGCGGGAACACCCAGTAGATATAGTCGAGCAAGGCCACTAGCTAAGCAAATGAACTTCGAGCGCGCGCACGCGGGATTGCTCCCGGCGGGAGATTACATAATGAGCAGGAGAGTCACAGGGCATCCTGAGCAGAATAATTCACACCAAAAGTGAACCGCAAGCTCATCCCACATCACAGGGCCAGACTGACAACGGCGTCTAGCTCCCACGTCTCTCCCAAGCATGATTACTGCCAGCTGTGAGCTGCAAGCATGGGAACATGGGGGGGGGGGGAGCACACAAAAATGGCAGCTGGCTGATAGGAATGGACATTCCCCAGTGTCTTTTAAGTCTGCTTCTGTGGCGGGTGCCGACGGCTGCAGAACCTTTCGCAGATGTTGCTGTCTGATCGTGCCCTTTAGATCCATCAGGCATTCACAGCTGAGTCAGATCTAAAGGCACACCTGACCGCAGCCACAGTGTAAGTATGAATTCCTATCCGTTACCTTGCAAAAGGTTCTAACTGCTAAGCAGTTGTTTGATGTTTTATACACAATTGTATCTAAATAGTTAGTAGCATGTGCATGTGTACCTGCTTGGTATGTGAATTTGATGGTATCATGGATGGTGTTGCATTGACCAAGGGTGTAGACTTTCCAATTTCCCGGGGGGGGGGCTGGGGCTGGGCCAGAGGCATTGCTTTGCTAGGAGCAAGGGTGGCTCCCGGGGGAGGCTGAGTACCTTCCTGAAAATTTCGGCGGGGGCTGAAGCCCCGCCGCCCCCACGAAGATTACGCCTATGTTGCATTCCACAAAAGTATTCAAATGTGATTATTCTAAATAAATCAGAAAAATAACATCCAGGAAACGTTTGGAGAACAAAATATTCTGAAAATATGGATTGTAGTTTACATTCAATCTTTGAGATTGCTGATGAAAAGGTTCACGATTGTTGGGGCAAATGATGAGCCCATAGCGACTCGTGTCTGAAAATAGAACTGGTCACCAAAATGAGAATAATTTTTCTCTAAGATAATCTCAATGAGTTCTATAAGAAAATGGGTCGGTGGGTTTTTATAGGTTCTCTGTTTCAAAACCATTTCTGGCACCATTATTGCCTTGGTGTGTGGTATGTTTCTATATAATGAAGTTATGTCCATACTTACTAAAACTGCATCTGATGGTACAGGGATGCCTTCTGTTTTGGAAATAATGTCTTGTGTATCTTTTAGATATGTTGGTGTTTTGTCTACAAAAGCTTTAAGGTAATGGTCCACAAATTTGGATATGGGTTCCAAAATAGATTCTGATCCAGAAATTATCGGTCTACCTGGTGGCAAAGTGGTAGATTTATGGATCTTAGGTAAAATATAAAATACGAGGTAAAATAGGTAAAATACAAAATAGATCCACCTTAAGCATATATCTATTATACACAGTGCCATATAGTTTCCCCATATCTTCCTAACACTGGCCGCGGGCACACGGGCAGGAAAATGCGAGGGCAAAATAATGGGCGGTTGCACCAGCAGACGTTCCGTGGAGGTCCCGTGGAGTACCCATGGAGGTCCCGTGGTAGGGGGGAGGTGCCGA